TCTAACATGCTCAAGTATTCGAATCCTGCAGCAGAATCTACTAGCATTTCTGCCACGGGCATGGAATACTCATCCTTAGGGGTTGCAGTATTTAAATCCCTAAAATCTATGCAAATTCTTAAAGAACCATTTTTCTTAATAACAGGTACTATGTTTGCTAACCATTCAACGTACCTTGTTGTTCTGATGAATTTGCAGCGCAACAACCTTTCGATCTCAGCTTTAATTTTTGTGAGAACCGCTGGTGCGAATCTTCTGGGAGTTTGTTTGATGGGCCTCTTGCCATCTTTGATTGGCAGTCTATGTTCGACCAACTCCCTCTTTAAACCAGGCATCTCATCATAATCCCATGCGAAACAATCTTTGTTCTCCTTAAGGACTTCGATCACTTTTTCCTTGAGGCCTGGGCTAAGTTTAGCACTTACGTAAGTTACTCTTTTTGTTTTTTCATCCCCTAAGTTGACTTCTTCGAGCGGGTCCTGTGCCAACATTTTGACACCTGAGTTTATGGGGTCCCTTTCGAAGCCTAAGGGTTCTTTGTCATAGATGGCATCCAACCTTTGATCCATCTCCAACTCTTTGATGGGTGAGCATTTCGAACCCCCCCACTAACTTCATTCGTCTTTACAGTTGATTCATTTATTTCAGCCTCTAGAGCCGCTTTCGATTCATTCTCAGCCATATAGGCCGAAATCCTTTCGAAGAAGGTAGACTCAGTCATGGTTAAGGTTGTCGAAGTCCCAGCCTGCTGGCCGTTTTTGCATAGCACCTTCAACTTCCTCTTCTTCACTGATTATTGTTCTATCCCAGTAAAGACCATCATGACGAAGTGTCATGTAGTAGTGGGCGTTCCTAGTTTCATTCATCTCATTGTTTGGAACACATGGAGCAATCTTTGCTAGATTTTTATCATAATCCCTTTTGTCAACTAAATTGACAGTTGACATAAAGTAACTCTGGTCTGCTTCAATGTTTTCCACGATTCCGTCATCTCTCCACAGAACTAGTCGTTGATGCATTGACGAAGGAATTGCCCCCACGCCATGGATCCACTCTCTTCCTAGCAGTAGGTTATAGTTGGCCTTGGCTTCGATAACCATAAACATGGTGGGCCTGCAACTTGAGCCTATTGTCAATTCCAACTGGACCACCCCCAGTGTTTTGCCCACTTTTCCCTCATAATTGGATAGAACCATATTATGGGGCTTGATATCTCCTTCACGGATCTCTAACCTTTTTAGCATGAAATGGGGAATCAGGTTGACTGCAGCACCCTCATCCACTAGAACTTTGTTCACACCATGGACACCTACTTTCGCTCGAATGAAAAGTGGCTTGAGATGATTCTTCATTGCAGGCTCTGGACGTTCGAAGAACGCATTTTGTTCCTCAACAGCCCCATTGTCCATCATGTAATAGCATACGGGCCTATGTTTCATTAAATCTGTGGTGTCTTCCTCCTCATATTCATTGATTTCGGTTTCTTGCCCAAATTCGCAGGGAAGCACAGACACCACGTTACAGTTCAGGTTGAATGAAGACTCCCCCTCCGATTCGAAGTTATCTGTTATCATATCTTCGTCCTCTTCCGGGCCTGGAGTGTATTCCTTTGGTTCGTCTCGTTGATCTTCAGAAAAAAGCCTCCTATTTACTGGAGGTTTCTCTTCAGTCTGATTTTTTGGTTTGTTGGTGCTTGATTCACCTTGTATCTTCGTTGAAGTATCCCCTTTGTTTGCCACAACTTCTCTCTCAGCCTTTCGAATCCTTTGTTGTCTGCGCCACTGGGATCTTGACATGGGGTTCCTTCCTTTGTAATTCTCTAATCTCACTTCCTCCCTTTTTTGTGTGTTGAATTGCCTCCTGTATGTCACAGCATGGCGTGCATTTCGTTCAGCACCCCTCCATTTGTCTTTGCCTTTGTCATTTCTGACTTGTAGCCATCTATCGGTTGGTACTTCAGCAGGGAGTTTGAAAGTCACTCTTCGAGCAACTTTGGGGTGAGGGCTATCAGGTCTTCGCTGTTTGTATCTGCTGTCGAAACACGGGCCCATCTGGGCAGTCTCTTGATGGTTCCAGCAAGGGGCGAAGGGGATCGTTTCAAAGGCCCTGGCCATGCTTTGGTCATACACAGCAGAACACCTTGGGCAAACCAAGCACTTAGTTGCCCCTTTGTAGCAGCGAAAAACAAACTCCAACAAACTCTCTCCAGCCTTGGGATAGCATCTAAAAAGTTGGTTATCCTGGCGCCAATTGTTGCCAGTTCGAGCCCTCTGTACCCTTTCGAAATTTGCAGCAATTATTTGGTTGCAGAGGATGCTGCACCTAGGGCACAATATCATGCCTGGATCTCCTTTGTGGCATGTCATGAGAGTAGCATCTCCAGTGTTGAATTGCCTCTCTGGTAACTCACAGGATCGACTAGATTGATCCTAGGACTCCTTGGATATTAAGGTTACTCTCACAATCGAACAATTATTCATGGTTGCTACAAGTGTTTGGTTTATTTCGATCCCTCTTTCTAAGAGTTTGAAAATGTGGTCAAAATGTATATGAAAACTAAGTTATACGAATAAATGCTAATTGTAATGCTGATTGAAGAGACATATAAAACTGTATGAAAAATGAAGTAAATGGTTTCGATTTGCAAAACATTTAACATAAAAGGTTTCTGGAATGTAGAAGTTTAAAATGTGAAGAAAGCGTTTAATGCAAGAAATCTATAAATGATTTTAAGTAAAAGTATGCGCTTGAAAAACAATGCTTGAAAGTAAAGGTATTGAAAGTGTAACAGTTCTCTGAAATATAAAGTGCTCGAAGTATAAAGAAAGCAGTAAAACGTAAAACTTTGAGGAAAAGACTTTGAAATGAAAAGACAGTAAATAAAGAAACTTGTAACTGTTATTCGACGAAAAGAAAATAAGAAAGTACTGGAAATGGTAAAAAGGCTTTCATTAAGTTAGAAATACATGGTGCTATCATACATACATTTCTCTTGCATTCGTTTCCCTTGCCATGTGGTAGTTTGAATGTTATTGAGTATTTTGTATAACAGATATGACACACTGAAATCCTAATACTAAGACTTCTATTTATACTAATTCGACCCTAACGGTCTCGCTATAGGATCATGCCACGTTTCAAACATGCAAGACAATGCTTCTTTCATCTTTCCACGTGTCCCCAAATGCTCCAACACATAACTTTCAAACTTTGAAAGTCCCGCTTCCATTTGAATTTTAAATTCTTTGGTGTTTCTCCGTTTCGAACGCTCTTCCCAAACCTAGCCTCGCTGTTGTTTCGAGACCCCTTTGGATATGTTCCCAAAATCACCGTTCGAAGCTTCAAGCTTTGACACACTTATTCGAAACACTGCTTCTGCAACTTCGAAATATGGCGTTTAATTCCACTTCGATCAGAACTTTTAACTCTTTTGAATTCTAAATAACATTATCAAAATCTTCAGCCAACACCTACCAACCATAATTAATTAAATTATTCAACTACCAACCAACTATCATCACTCTGAATTTTTTCCTATAAATACTCAATCACTCTCACCTCATTTTTTCCACAAACACACTACATTATATTCACTACACACTCTCTACTCTCTTTTGATAAGTCTTCAATCAGTTCTTCATTTTCACAATTATGACCAATATGTTTTGGTATGGTACACAACATAGGGGAACAGTAGAAAATATCAATGCTGTAAGTATTTTTGATTTATTCAATATTATTCATATTTATTTATTTTTGAGTTTACAATATTAGTTTTATTCATAATTTGCATAGAAATGTTAAATATTTTTCTATATTACTTATTTCTATTACTGATTGATGATACTTATATTTTAAAATGGAGAATTCGTGCTCAAAAACCTCTAAAGCCACATGCAGTCATAATCCCTTACCTTCACCAATCTGGTTTCTACCATGTATCTACAATAGGGTCTACACACATCGATTCAAGGTTAATTATAGCCTTACTAGAACGGTGGAGACCCGAAACTCATACATTTCATCTTCCAAACGGTGAATGCACAATTACATTAGAAGATATGAGTATGTTATTGGGGCTTCCTGTAGATGGTAAAACGGTAAATGATCCATCCGAACTAGGTGGTGGTGCATGGAGTTCTATTTTAGGGGATGAACCACCACAAAGTGATAAGGGAATGACTGCGAGGTTGACATGACTTAAAGACATGTACCAACATGAACCACCAACCGATGAGTCACCTGAGGAGTACAAAATTAAACATGATTAAACATGCTCGTATTTATATCTTACTCTTTATCGGGCAAGTTTTGTTTCCTAACAAAAGCAGTAATATTATACACTCAAAATGGACACAATTTGTTGTGGATTTGGAAGATTGTGGAAAATTGAGTTGAGGTTCCGCCGTTTTAGCTAATCTATATAGGGAAATGTGCAAGTCTGTAGACATAAAAGTAACAGAGGTGTCAGGATGCGTTTACTTCTTCAAGCTTGGGCTTTTACACGCATGCCTATAATATCTCCGATGGCTCCGCTTCAAGCTCCATATCCTTACGCAAGAAGGTAATATTTTAATTTAAATTTAAATTTATAATTAAAATTGTTAGGATACTTTAAAATAAAGTTTAATTTTAAATTCTTTTTAGGTGGTGCATCAAGAAACTTGACTACCAAAACAACCCGCGCCACCATTTACAAGGATATTGATTCAGGATTGATCACATGCTTCAAGATCATATTTTTTTGTCTTCACTTTAATACTTCTTATAAATTTATGAATTTTATTTTGGTTAAACTAAGAAGTTTTATCTATAACTTTTTCAGTTTATTTGGAGGTCGTATCTTGGATTAGCGCCCCAAAGGCACGAGGACAGTTTGATACTAGGTATATAATATGTTTTCATATTGTAGAAATGCATCAAGCAGATAGGGTCAAACTACAATTTGGCCATTTACAAGGGATACTTGAAGAACCTCGATGCTTGGTGAACAACATAGGATGACAACAATAAAAACGCGCCAAAAAACATATACCATATTATACTCCGATGAACAAAACTGTTGGTTGCATCGAGAATTGTTTACGTTGGACGGAAATCAATTACAAATAGAGGAGAAACGTCAAATGAGTACATGCAATGGTATCACTCGCTTCCACATAGATATGCATCGTACGAACAATTTCTCACTGACCCTCGTCAAAATCAATATGCCCCTACTCAGGCAAGTGACTCTCAACAACCTCACCACTCACAACATTCTCAACCTCCTCATCCCCAATCCTTCCAACAACAAACTCCTCACTTTTCCCAACATCAAACACACATCCCCATTATTCTGAACAACAAACTTCTAACCCTCATTTTTCTCAACTACAAACTCCTGCCCCTTATTTTTACCAAAATCAAATCTTTAACACCCAATACTCGCAATCTCACTCCCAACCAAATTACATTTATGAATCCTAACAACCACAAATATATCATAGACCAACTACACAATTCACACCCATCATGCGACCAAGCTTTGATTCCTCCTCCTCCCAACATAACCCTACAACGCGTTATTTTCCAATCATGTGTCAGCCACAACAACCTCAATATAATTTTAGCGAGATCTTAACGTCAGTGATTATGATTTACTGAAAAACATTTGGTCTCCTCCACAAGCTACAGCTCATAGTCAAGAAAATCCTTCAACAACAGATGCAACACAACAAAATCCTCCAACAACAGAGATCAAACAACAATATGATTTTGGTCATCGTGCTCCGCGACCGCGTTATTGTTTTACCGATACTCGTTTCGGACCGGGTCATCAGCATTAAATAGTGTAATTGTGAAATTTTAACTGTATTTTTTTATTTAGTATTTTGATTGTAATTGTAAAATTTTATTATTAATAAAAAAAATTTATTATTTAATTGTAATTGTTAAATAGTTATTTTAAGTTTATAATTATTTAAGTTTTTAAATTAATATTTTATTAATTAATTTTATAATTAATAGTTTATTAAATTATTTGTAATTAATAATAAAATTAAATAATTAAAATTATTAATATAAATAACGTAAAAACAAGAAAACGAAAAAAAAATTATCAAACCCTTTCACGCCATTTGAGCATTCTGGGCAATGTTTTTACAGAATGTGATATTCTAAGAAATTGATTTGAAAAACGTGGTATCGTGGTAAAAAAATTCACAATAAACCCTTAAATGATAATTCACTAAATACATTTGTAATGCTCAATCACATTTTTCCATTATCTCTGTCACTCAAAATTTTCAAATTTCCTAGGATCTTTCCTTTTACCGGCAAAAGAAAATTCTGTGTAATAACCTTTTACTACTTCTCATTACACTTCCATCTCTCTCATTTGTCACCTCCATTTCTTTCTCTTCCGGAAGCTATTCTCTCTCTCTCTCTCTCTCTCTCTCTCTCTCTCTCTCTCTCTCTCTCTCTCTCTCTCTCTCTCTCTCTCTCT